CTCACTCTCACTCACTCACTGTCTCACTGTCTCACTGCCTCACTCTCTCACTGCCTCACTCTCTCACTCTCTCACTGCCTCACTCTCACACTGCCTCACTCTCTCACTGTCTCACTCATTCACTCACTGCCTCACTCTCACTCACTCACTGTCTCACTGTCTCACTGCCTCACTGACTCACTGAAAAAAAAAGAATAAAAAATTAAGATTGATAATGATCTGGGGTCTAAATTAAAAGAAGAAGAAGAAGAAAAAGATGGGCAGCATCAGAAACCCGTCCGCCGCGGCCGTTCTGTCCTCCCCTGGAGGGTCATGTGAATCAGAACTGGCAGTGGGTCCACGGCATGGGCACCTTCCTCTGCTTTTGAACTTCTTGAGCCCTAGAACGACCTCCCTGGTCCCATACCGAAAGGGGTGCGGAGGGACCCTGCTCTGGTCCCTCGGTCTGCGATCTTCCTGGCCCTCCCAGCATCCCCTTCGCCGTCTGGCATTGCTCAGCCCCTCTTTGCTCTGTGGAATGCATTGGCCTTCCCTCCCAGCAGCTGCCAGGGTTGGTTTGAATGCTTGAAATTACTGAGTGTTTACTGTGCCACTGGGTGGGGATTCTAAACTAAATATAACGTTCTGTCTTGTGTGCGAGGCGATAGAGGACTTTCAAAAGCAGTCAAGTAAAAAGAAAGTCAGGAAATCAGAACGATAGGGCCTGTGAGACCATCATGTACATTGTGTTGGCTTTTAAAAGCACGGTTAAAAATCACGAACATATTTAGTCTAACTAGTTCGAATCCACTGAAGAGGTAAGCATTGTCCTGTCATTAGCTTGTTGGTGATCTGCTAGCAAGGACTGCTTGCAGACAGTCTGAAGGTAGAACGTACGCGTGTCCTACGTCATCCAGATGCTGCTGCTCTGGCTGGGGACGTGGCGGGAGGGCTTCTTGGACAGCAGACTTGTCGCGCCCTCACGGGACGGCAGCCATTGAGAAGTAGTGCCCTTGTGGTGAAAAAGCTCTGCCCTCGGCGGTGGCAAGTGCTATAGGCACGCACCGAGGATTCAGCATCTATGTCTTGTTTGTGGTTAAGGTGGCAGATATTTTTCCTGATGAGCAGAACATTATGTTTAATGGTTAGCTGTTTAATTTCTTTTTAAAACTAGTATTTATATAAAATTCACAAACCGTGCCCTTCCATAGTTAAGTCATTTTTTAAAAGAGTCGTATACACGTCATCACAATAGGTTCTACTGATCCCCCCCTCACCTTCATTGTTGGCTCCCCAATTCCCCACCCCTGTCCCCGATAAGTCATTGCGTCAGTTGTTGTCTCTGTGTATCCGCTCACTCTGTGCTTCATAATCTGGGAAACCTCACAGAAACGATAAAAAATAAGAACAAAATGAAACAGAAAGAAAATAATAACATAAAGATTAAGAGAGTAAGAAAGAAAGAAAAGACAACCGGCAATATTTAAAAAGCTCCAGAAGAGATTTTTGTTGTGGAACAAGCAAGAAATATTTCAGGCTAGAACAAATTCAGATTGGGTCAAGAGGGCGGTCGCAGTTCCAGCCACCATAATCGGTGGTCAAGCTGTTCAAGTGGCTCGCTGGTGGCCAGAAGGGGTCTGCCAGAGCCCTAAGCTGACTCCATTCTCTGCAGGTGCATGTTGGGCGTTCACTGTCCTTCATAGCTTTCTGCAAATTGGGTGCTCCCAATTTAAACTCTGAGACTTCCCATCATGTTTGGCTTTTGTTATCATCATCCTTGGATCACACAGGCTCGCGTGCTTCTTCCAGGTGGACTTAGTTGAGGCCTTACTTAGATGGTTGCCTGTTTGAATCCACAGCTGTTTAATCTTGTCTGCTGAACTTCATTTTGTTTTCTTATTTTGCTTCTCTTAGAACTAGTAGATCTTCCCTTGGTAAAGTTTGACTTTTCCTGCAATAAAGTGCTGGCGATTCCCATTTGCTTCCGGGAGATGAAGCAGCTGCAAGTGTTACTGCTGGAGAATAACCCTTTGCAGTCGCCTCCTGCACAGGTGAGAATCCTTAGAACAAGGTGTTTGCAGAGCTGCGCTAGCAGGAGCCTTTAAGCTGCACCCCAGAGCCAGGACTTGGATACCCTGCTGATTGGATAAGCCGCATATACACAAAGCACAAACCTTTGATGAATCTGCGTGCACTGTGTGGTTTTCGACATCAAATCCCAGCATTTAACTTGGCTAGGGATGTGTGCATGGGGCACCTCAGACGTTCCACTGCTTGGATAGAGTCAGGATTATGGATTCTGGAGTTACAAATACATTTTAATGAGTGGGCCGATCCACAAATAATGGCATGTGCAAATAAATAATGAAGATCGACTGTATTCTGTATTATAATGCTGGAGGGGAAATAAAGTTTAAACATTTCAAAGGACGATTACTGGTTATTTAGAGATGGCATTCCATCGCAGTTTGTGGAGAAAACACAATGATGGCTATCCGGTGATGAGTTATGTAAAGTTTTACATTTTACTTTGAAGTCATTTACCAACTTATCACACCTGTAGTATTTTTTAAAAGCCTTATTTCCTTATGGGTTTGAAAATAAGAGTATATCATCTTTTATGAGGGTCACGGTGCAATAAATGGCAATGCAGGGCCAGATGGATGTGATCTCTTCTGGCTTTATCTTTGCCGCGAGGCGGGGCTCAGATAGGACGCCCCACTCGGCCCTCTACCTGTTTCCACACCAGCAGTTCCTCCCCTGCGGGTCTACATCTGTGCTGGCCTCAATAATTCATAGCAATAGCCACACAGTACAATGAAGTCAATAGGGTACCACAAATCAGGATTAGCAAACGGTAAGGAAACGGACGTGGGTGTCCTCAGCCAGCAGCCAAGCCCTCTCTGGTCTCAGACTTTCGGCACACATGGTCCCTTGGCCTTTACTTCTGTGGGCCAGGAAGCCAGCTCACCTTCACGCTGTCCCACAGGCCCATCGTCGCAGGCCAGATAAGGAGAAAGGCTCTCATCATCTTGGCACCGAGTCTCCTTGCCGCAGTCTGCGATACATCTGGTCTCAGGGCCTCTGCCACTTCAGGCCCAGCTATTAAACATGCTCTTCAAAGTCCTCAGGAGTTCTCTCTACTACCCCTTCAAAGATGGCTCATCACAGATGGCCCTCCCCCACCCTTGTGGAGGATGGTCATGAAACTGGCTAATCCCATCTCTTAGTGTTACACACACCCCATAGTCCGCGTCACACTCAATTATTTGGAGAGAGTTAGAGACTTGTGCAGAAGAGCCATGTTAAGAACTTTCACAGCACCCCAGGAGGCTGGCACAACTAGTGTGTACCTCAACTACTAACGGGAAGGCTGGCAGTTTGGCCCACGCAGCAGCACGTTAGAAGAAAGGACCGGCGCTCTGCTTCTGTAACGGTCACACGTGAGAAAACCTTCTAGAGTTTTCCTGTGCGAAGGAGAATTGGAGGAAATGGGTCCCTAAGTTACTATTTTTTCTTCTTCTTGTTAAAAACGCATGCAAGATATATACGAATCGAATAGTTCCTACGCAGGCAACACTGTGACATTGAACACGTTTTAAAGTGTCACCACCATTCTCGTTCTCAACCCCTTCAGCCAAATTTCCCCTCGGCTGCTGACATAACTGTCTCAGCGCGTGATCAGACCTGAGTTGTTGTCAATTTGATCAGATACCCTGTTTCCCCGAATATAAGACAGTGTCTTATATTAATTTTTACTCCCAAAGATGCACTAGGTCTTATTTTCAGGGGATGTCTTATTTTTCCATGAAGAAGAATACGGTACACGTTTATTGTTTATTGCTTTATTAAAAGAGACCTCGCACTTCCTGTCTGCTCCAGCTGCGCTGCGGCCAACAGTGAGCTGCGCCGGTGGGCACCACTGCTACGGTCCAGAGTCTAGAGTTACAGTAGCTTCCAGGGGCCTTATTTTCGGGGAGGTCTTATTTTCAGAGGGATGCCTTATATTTCAGCGAGAGGCAAAACTAGGTAGGTCTTATTTTCGGGGGATGTCTTACTTTCAGGGAACCTGGGTCATTTTTAAATGAGTAGAGTGCTCAAGAAAGGCAATATTTAACTGTCGAGTTGAAAGAAGACTTTGGGGCACATTTTTGGGTTAAGGTTTGAAGATACTCTCAGGAAAATAGTTTCAGGGTTCATCCAGATTTAATAATTCCCTAAAGTCTAGGAGAGTTTCAAATTCATTTTTGCACACACACACACACCCACCTTTAATCAGGATTCTTACATAGCGTCTTATCTTTTTTGTATAAATCATTTCATTGGGCGCTCTTACAGCTCTCATAACAATCCGACATCGGTTGTGTCAAGCACATTTGTACATCTGAGCTTTGATCGAAATTGAAAATGTAGCCGGACACCAACCAGTTCTTCTGGTTTCAAGGCTTAGGAGGCAGTTAGCCACAAATTTCCATGTGTGTGGCTAATCCCATTCCTGATCCTCCTTTCTTCTACTGCTGCCCTTGAATAGACACACCAATTGTTAATACCTTGGGTAGCTTCTTGCAAGCTTTTAAGACATCAGGCACTATGCAGAGGGGGTAGAAGCACTGAACTCCACAAATCTGGCTAGACCAGAGGATGTACATTGGTACAGATAGCAACTGGAAACACAGGGAATCCAGGGCAGATGACTCCTTCAGGACCAGTGGTGAGAGGGGCGATGCCTGGCAGGTGAAGGGAATGTGGGGTAGAAAGGGGGAACCCAATTACAAGAATCTAGGTATTGCCGCCTCCCTGGGGGATGGACAGCAGAGAAGAGGGCGGCGGGAGCCGTCGGACAGTGTAACTTATGACAAAACTATAATAAGTTGTGAATTATGAAGGGTTCATGAGGGAGGGCGTCGGGAGGGAGGGGGAAAATGAGCAACGGATATTAAGGGCTGAGGTGGAGGGCAAATGTTTTGAGAATGATGAGGGCAGCGAATATACATATGTGCTTGACACGGTGGGTGGATGGGTGGGTGGATGGATGGATGGATGGATGGATGGATGGATGGATGGACGGATGGGTGGATGGATGGATGGATGGATGGTGATGAGAATTGTATGAGCCCCCAATAAAAGGATTTAATAAAAAAAGCCCAATGAACTGGACTGGTCCCTGAAACCTTGAAACAGAGAAACCAATCTCGTGAAAGGTTGCGTTGCCCACACTCTGCCGCTCCTCAAGGTTCGCGGTTTGATTTTCCTTCCTTAACTTACTGTGTTTGGGAGAGGTCAGACTGCTTGTGGGTGGCTGTGGGGCTGCTTGAAATGAAAAGGATAATACCTGGTGGGTAGGGGTGTTTTGCCCTTTAAAGGTAAAGAGGTATTTTAATTTCTCAATAGATTTGCATCAAAGGCAAAGTGCATATATTCAAGTATCTGAGCATACAAGCTTGCCAGATGAAGACCGCCGACTCCTTCTATCTTCACGCCATGGACCGGCCACCTTCACACCAGCACGTGGAGGACAGGTGAGCCCAGCCCTTGAAGCCCCTGTTTAAAATTGTCTTAGGCTTGTGCCTTGCCGGGTTGAGTGACCTCCGGGTATCTAAAACAACCCATGTGCATCCCTCCACCCACTCAAATCTGTTACTTGGGTTTGCAATAACTCGAGAGGTAAAAGAAAATTATTGCTGTGAGTCATCCTTTTGCATTTGTTCATTCTTTATTTTTTTTTTTTATTTTATTGATTGATTGATTTATTTATTTTTTAGCATTTTATTAGGGGTTCATACAACTGTTATCCCAATCCATACACACATCAATTGTGTAAAGCGCATTTGTACATCGTTTCTCAAAACATTGCATTTGTTCATTCTTATCTCCCCTCTCTTAATCCCACATCCTCCCTGAGTACCTTTATTTGTATGTGCCTCTGTATGTGTGTCATAGCAAACCTGTGGGACAGGATAGGACAGTCCTGTAGGTTTCTGAGATGATAAATCTTTAGGAGAGTAGGTTACTATGAAGCGGGAGTGGACTTGATAGCATTGAGTTGTGTTTGTGTGTGTGTGGCATAGATATACATATATACAAAGAAGCTTCATAAAGCTTGTGGAGAAATGGAATTGAAAGGTAATGGAGTTTTTCCTTGAAATTTTCCAAGGCCCCTCAGATGTATGCAGCTGTATATACTTATATGCATATAAATATGAACTGTACTATAAATGCATTTGCTTACCAATTAAAGTCATCATAAGCTCATGCATGGCTGTTTATAATTATTATTCATTTTTAATTTGCCTCTGGAACACTGCCCCCAAAAGTACAGCTTTTTATTAATATTATTGTAATTGTAAGAGAGAGTGCATAGTCTCCGGCATTTCCTGTGTAGCGTGGAAGCGCTGGCATCTTTTTGCAGGCCCTTGAGCTCTCTGTGGCAGTTGGGCCTTGAGTTTTCAGAAAAGAAAATCCCCACACTGAGCTGGCTGGTAGAAACCAGGGTCTTCTTGAAGAGTCGTTACTGCAGAAACCTTTTCCATACAGTTTGCTAAGCCAGGGGGCTTAAAATCTCACCCTACCCAAGCGTTACTTTTATAGCATGCTTAGCATATTTTTATAAGAAATGTTAAGTTTACTTTACCACTGAATGAAAATTGTACAGAGCTATGGAAAGTAACCACATGTAAGAAGTGGGGAAAGCACTTACCTAGTTTATTGATTTTTTTAAATTAATCATTTTCTTGGGGAGCTCTTACAAATTTTACAAGAGTCCATCATTCAGTTGTATTAAGCACATATGTACATATGCTGCCGTCAACATTTCCAAAATGTTTTCTTTCTACTTTTACCCTTGAAATCAGCTTCTCTTTCTTCCCCTCCCTCCGGCATCCCCCCCAAGTGTATTGATTTGGTAAAATGATTTGATTTCTCAGGGTAGGGCTTCTTGGTGAGTGCCCATAGACACAAAACTCTGAAAACAGATTTTCTTTTCTACTTTCTCTCAGAAGAAAAACCTATATTTTACCTCCGAAAAACCCATTACCGAAAACCCTGTGGAGCTTAGCTCTCCCCGATCCCCTGACACAGACACCACAGGAAGCAACACCTGGTGTTTATCTAGGTGTATAAACATCTGATTATCATTAGGCGCATATCGTAATTTTCTTGAATGCTGGACTAAATTTTTTTAAAATAATTTTATTGGCATAGAATTTACATACCATGCAACTTAATATATTATCAGTCATAGTAAGAAGAGCTGTACAATTGTCACCACAATCAGTTTCAGAACATTTTCTCCCTTCTTGTTCTCATTGCTGTTCGCTCCCTATTTTCCGCAACCTCCCCTGCCAGGTGCCGAGATAACCATCCATCCAGGTAATATCTGTATAGATTTCCCTCTCCTGGATTTCATAGGCAGAAAGTCACCCAAAACGCAAAGCACAGAGCTCTTCCCAGTCCTCGTTCCAGGGGGCTCTCCTGTTCTTCTCCCAGGGGCTCTCTCCTGCTCTCGTGGCCGGCCGGGCTGAGGTATTGCGGAAGAATTTCTGATTCCCGGGACCCCTATGCACAGTTGAATGCGGCACTGCCCGGTGGCGCCTTCTCCCTCCCGCACACCGGGCGCCTTTCTCCCTCCCGCACACCGTTGCTGTACCTGAGTCGCTGTGCTGCTCCAGCGCGTTGAGCTTCCTCCTGTGTGTGCTGACCCGTGAGACCTACTCTGGTGTGTGTCTCCAGAGGAAGGACCTCCTCCGAGAAAGCCAACACCCTGCCGACACCTTGATTCTGCCCCACAGTAACCCTATAGATCACGCAGCCGAATGCCTTCCTGTTAAAGCACCTCGATTACAATACTTTTCTCACTTGGGAAAAAAGAAGCAAAAAACACGAAGAACAAACAAGCAACACAAGTGGGAGACAAAGCAGAAAAACTTCATCACAAGGAAAGCAAGAAAGTGTTAAAAACTTAAACCACTTTGAAATGGACCGAAAGGGAGATTACATGCTACCGTGTTACGTTTTAACCTAACTACATCTGCCATGATGGACTTCACTCTGGTCTCTCAGATGGCAAAGCTGTTCACTTCGCTAGATTATGGTCAGAGGGAATTCAGTGGAGGCTTAATCCATGCTGGGAACCCTGCCGATGAATTTTGGGCTTCCACTGCCCTGCAGAGCCTTTTGCAAACCAGGTGCTCAGCATTTAAACACTGATACTCTTCCCTCTTTGGGATTTGTATTTTATTCTTCACAGACCTTGCATCACACAGGCTGCCATACTTCTATGTGGACGTAGTGGATGATGCTTCATTTACATGACAATTTGTTTTAAGACCCCAGACCCTATTCCTTCTGAAAGCAGATGAAATAACTTAAGTAATAGTCTCCATTTCACTTTGCATCCGAAGAGCCATTGCAGTGGCTATCCAGAAACTCACAGGCAGACTTCATGATGAAAGGTTTATTAAGGAAGTTAACAAGTATCATGTCAATGAGAAATGCTTAGCTCAGGGTATAGTTGTTTACCAGAACATGTTACAGAGTTTCAGGTCTGCTAATAAATGCTCCAAGGGGCATACCACTCTGCGATAGACTTCAGCCGTCAGCATTCAGCTCACGCTTTGCGCTGTCAGCAAACCCAGCTCCCTGAAGTAAGTGCCCAGAGGCACCCTACCCCAGTCCTATAAGCCTCAGCCTGAAGGCTTTCCACGGGTCAGCAAGTCCAATAAGTACCCAGAGGCACCCCACTCCACAAGTCGGCCTCCTCGAGAAAAGCAAGCGCTCCTCCTAACTTGCTCCTGGGTTGGGAAGTCCCTCATTCTGTTCCATGCTCCTCCTCTTGATTCTGCTGCTGCTCCTCTGACGGCCTTCTGGATCCTGGAAGGGTCCCTGCGCAGGGATCCAGGATCCAGAGGACGCTCCCCATTCCTGCCTCTTGCTGGTCATCTGATCCCTACTCCTGTCTTTAAGACCCCAGTTGTTCTTTCTGATCGTTAGGCATCATCTGGTGTCTTCACCACCCTCTGCTGTAGCACCCAGATCTTCCGCAGCTGGTCAGTTTGTTATGTTGCCTTCTAATGGCCATTTTCATAAGAAAAAATGCCAAGGCATTGTTAGACTATAGGTTGCTGTGTCATGGTGTGAACGTTTAAGTGTTCCTTTTCTCCCAAATGAACTCAGTACCGATGACGTCCACTCCAGCAAGAAGGATTCCGACTCGGGCGTTGGGAGTGAGAATGGAGACAAGCGGTTGTCGGCCACAGAGGTAGAGTTCTGCATCTGACCCCCCCCCTCCTGTCCCCCAAGACATTGCTGCGCGACGACCGCCCTCCTTTCCGGCCAGCCACGCATCCTCGTGAAAGTAGGTGATGATGTTCACGAGAGAGAGCAATTGGAGACCCTGCAGGTGATCAACACAGGTATCCCCTGATTTAGCTTTCTTGACACTGCTCGCCAGTTAGGAAAGACCTACTACGTTAGTTTCTACCCTTGTTCATTAGCTGAAAGAAATCCAGCAAAGATTTGGACTTTTTCTTTGGCTGCAAGCCCGTCATGCGTATCACGCAGTATGTTGACCCCCCC